TGCCGAGCGGCTGCCTGCTCGGCCCTGGCGTGGAGGTGCCCGCGGGGGCGGTGCTGGCGGCGAACTCGCGCCACACGGCGCTCTCGCGGCCCGAGTTGCTCAAGCTGGCCGAGGACATGGACGACGACGACAGCGGCGACGAGGCCGACGCCGAGCGCGGCGCCGACGCCGACGCGGACGCGGCGGGCACGCTGTGGAGGGTTGTGGCCGCGGGGGCGATGGGGAAGGGTGGTGGTGCGGCGGCGTGGCCGATCTCTGGCGAGCTGTCCGAGCCCGAAGACGACGAGGTCGTGCCGGAGGACGAGGTCGTGCCGGGCGAGACCTTCTTCTCGGAGGTGGAGGCGACGATGCAGCGCGGCATCGAGGCCGACCACACCGTCGAGAACGTGGCGCTCGAGGTCAACAGCCTCAAGTTTGCGCAGAACCGCACCTTTGCGGACTGCCTGCAGCCGCTGCTGCTCACGCTGCTCTCGTCGCTCCAGCTGTCGACGCGCACCAAGAAGGAGCGGCCGCGCGAGATCAAGCGCTGCCTCAAGCGGTGGGGCGCGCTGCTCGGCCGCTTCGTCCAGTCACAGGCGGACCAGGACGTCCTCCTCGCCACCCTCATCTCCGTCGCCACCGAGAGCGACGCGCTCGCGGACGTGTTCCAGCACGCGCTGCACGCGCTGTACGAGTGCGACGCGTCGGCGCGCTCCGAGGGGCGAGGGCGTGCCGCGCGGTGGGAGGCTCCCCTCAGCCAAGAGAGCTCGTGCGCCGTAGGTCCTCTCGGAAGAGGCGATTCTGCGCTGGGCATCGGCAGCCGAGGCGGCGCCGTGCGGCTCGCCCACGCGCGCGCTCCTCGACTCGGCCGCGCCCTTCCTGACGTGGCTGCAGGAGGCGGAGGAGGATTCGGAGGAGGACTGAGAGGCAGGCGGGATAAGTCACTACTCCAAGCAGGAGGTCTGGCTCTCATGCAAAGTGACTCACGGTCCATGCCGCTGTGTAGAGCTGTAGAGCCCGCAATAAAAGCCGTAGCGCTGGTCTTTGATAGCCGTACTTTGAGAGATTGAGACATCTTGAGAGATGACCCAGATGTTGTCCGAGATGAGAGCATCAAAACTTCTCCCACACTTGCACTTCCCAGCACACATACACCCACAAAGAACCCTGCAGCTGCACAAAGACTAGGGCTGTCAAACGTTAAGAGCTGAACAGTGTTGCTAGTGTTAACAGTAACAACAGAACAACAGTGGGGCTCCCCAACAACAGTAGCTAACGTTAGGCCGGCTGAACAACAATACCAAAGAGCTAGGGAGCGCGAACAACACTTGCGCCTGCCCCAGCCACTAGCAGATAGCTCAGATACAGCCCACAGGCCACAGCTCAAAATTTGCTTCGGCTCGCTGCGCTCGCGTGGCTCCGGCGGACGGAACGCCGCCACATCGTAGCCGCTCAGAGACCCGAGATGATCTCCGATGGCTCCCGGTAACCGTCTACGAGGGGCGGGCGTGGAGCAAGTGGGTCCGCCATTGCACGAGAGCACGACGGTGGTACGAAACCCCACCCTAGAGCACTCGAGCTGTGATGCGGCTCAGTCCACGATCACGAGCTGATCGTCCTCGGCCACGAGTTCCTCGATGAGGAAGAAGTGCACAATGCACTCGGCGATCCTCTGCACGTTGCGCAGAAA